GGCGGCTCATGCCTGGAATCGCAGCACTTTGGGAGGCCGAGGCGGGCGGATCACCTGAGGTCAGGAGTTTGAGACCAGCCTGGCCAACTTGGTGAAACCCCCTCTCTACTATAAATACAGAAATTAGCCAGGCTTGGTTGTGCGCACCTGTAGTCCCAGCTACTCGGGAGGCTGAGGTGGGTGCATCACTTGAAGCCAGGAGGCAGAGGTTGCAGTGAGTTGACATTGTGCCACTGCAGTCCAGCCTGGGTGACAGACTGAGACTCCCTCTCAAAAAAAAAAAAAAAAAAAAAGAATTCATAAAAGTAATCGGTAATGGATAGAGATGAAGTAAATGAAAGAAAAGTTAATTAATAGGGAGGATAGAAGAATAAACGTTAGTAGCCTTGTGAGAACAGAATATAGTCATTAAAAGGAGAGTGTACTTAAATAATGAAAGAGAATTTCTCAGATTTAGACAAATGTCTTAAGATTTAAAGGGGTCATTGTACACACGCACATACACACACACAGGAACAGTGAAATAAAAAATTGTGAAAGACAAAGAAAAAATATTTTTAAAATGATCAGAGAGAAATAGGTTACTTACAAAAGAAAAATATTTAAACCTTCATTGGGTCTCTCAAACACCACACTGGAGGCAAGGATACAATGGTGTAACAACTCCAAAGTATTTAACGAAAGGTTTTGTGTGTGTGTGTGTGTGTGTGTGTGTGTGTGTGTGTGTGTGTGTGTGTGTTTGAGACAGAGTCCGCTTTGTCACTCGGGCTGGGGTGCAGTGGCATGATCTGCCTCCCAGTTTCTAGCAATTCTCCTCCTCAGCCTCTTGAGTAACTGGAGCTACAGATGCACACTACCACACTCAGCTAATTTTTGTAGTTTTAGTAGAGATGGGGTTTTTCCATGTTGGCCAGGCTGATCTCGAACTCCTGACCTGAGGTGATCTGCCCGCCTTGGCCTCCCAACGTCCTGGGATTATAGGGGTAAGCCACTGCACCCAGCAAAAGAAAGGAATTTTTATATTTGGTGGAGTAAGGCAATGTCAGGCATATAACACTTCAGGAGATTGAAGACACAGGAAAATGTTTAAGCAAACAACTATTTATTGCACTTATTAAAGACTGTAAGGAAGGGCCAGTCTGCAGTAGCTCATGCCTGTAATCCCAGCACATTGGGAGCCCGAGGCAAGAGGATTTGTTGAGCTCAGGAATTGAAGACCAACCTGGGCAACATGGCGGAACCCCGTCTCTACAAATTATACAAAAATTAGATGGGCATATCAAGTTCCTGAGTCTGTAGAGAACTGAAAATAAAAAAAATTAAAAAAAATAAAAAAAAAAACCTGGGTGTGGTGGTGCGTACCCGTAGTTCCAGCTACTCGGGAGGCTGGGGCAGGAAGATTGCTTGGGCTCTGGAGTTTGAGGCTGCAGTGAGCTAGGATTAGGTCACTGCACTCCAGCCTGAGTGACAGAGTGAGACTTTGTCTCTGAAAGCAAAAAAAAAAGATCGTAAGGACGAATTTACTCAGAGGCGGGACTACTGTGATAGGTACAAGGACCACTGCAATGGGGTCTTGCAGTAAAAGAGTTATATTAGGATCGACTTCGACTCCACCAAAGACAAGTGGGGATTTGCAGTCAAGGAGTAGGAACAGGGGCGGGGCAGGGGGGGCGGTCAAAAGATGGGAAATTACTTGAAGGAAATCTCAGGTGCAAGGGATTCTGGCTAAACTGACTTGACAGGATTTTTGCTGAAACAGGCTAAATGGGCAGAGTACCTGGATGAAGGACAGAGCCTGAGGTTGGGACCTAGTCATTAACAGGACTCAGAGGAGCCCCACTCAAGTTTGGTCAAAGGAGAGTGTCTCTGTCTGAAAGCATGAGCAATAAAGTCAACAGCAGTAAAACGAATGGATCACAAAGGAGAATTTTTGTGCAATGCTAAGCAGGACTCTGCTTTAATCATTGTAAAAGTTGATTATGTGAAGTGTGTCGTTCTTAGTTTTTTTTAAGTTCTTACTTGCAGAGGAAGCCTTCAGCTACTACACTTCAGAGAGAACAGATTGTAATCTTTTTTTTTTTTTTTTTTTTTTTTTGAGACGGAGTCTCACTCTGTCACCAGGCTACAGTGCA